TGAAGCAATAAGTTATTTTGAGTTCTGGGATAGAAAAGACACAACTATGAGAGGTGTTTATTCCCCTGAAACTAATTTATGCCTTCAATAAATAAGCATCTCAGTGTGATTACAAAATTCAGTGTATGTATGTATGTATGTATGTATGTATGTATGTATGTGTTAGCACGTGTCTGTAGGTCAGAATACAACTTGACGGATTTGATTCTCTTCTTCCATATGTGGTCTTAAGAATTGAACTCAGGCAGGCAGGTTCAGTGACAAGTGCCTTTACCTGCTGAACCACCTCACCAGCCCTGCCTCAGCAAAATTTTAATTTTAATGTACACTAATTCATAAATTTATTTAGAAGAGCAATTGTCTTAGGGTTTCTATTGCTGTGATGAAACACCATGACCAAAACAACTTGGGGAGGAAAGGGTTTATTTGGCTTATAGTTTCACATCATAGTCCATCACTGAAGGAGTCGGGAAAGGAACTCACACAGGGCAGGAACCTGGAGGCAGGAGCTGATGCAGAGGCCATGGAGGGATGCTGCTTACTGGCCTGGTCCTCATGACTTTCTAGGTCAGCATTTTTTTTTTTAACCATTCAGTACTTCTGCCTAGGAGTGGCATCTCCCACATTTTTTTTTAAACCATTCAGTACTTCTGCCTAGGAGTGGCATCTCCCACAATGGGCTGTGCCCTCCCACATCAATCATTAATCAAGAAAATGCCTCATAGGATTGCCCAAAGGCCAGTCAGGTGGGGACATTTTCTCATTTGAGCTTCCCTCTTCCTAGATGACTCTAGCTTGTGTCAAGATGACAAAACACCAGCTATCACAAGACTACATTGTTAAACCCAGGCACAAATTTCCTTCTGGCTAACGTATTAAGACATTTCTTCTGAAATCCAGTAAGCTGCTTCAAAGACATCGGCAGCAGATGGAAAGTCGGCAAGGGTACAGCTCAGGGACCCCAGGAGTCAACCATAGTTAACAGTGCTGAGGCAATTCTGAAACTCAGCTTATACAGATAAATACTAGAATTAAAATGATTATTAATTTTTAGCTGTTTGTTCCCTGATGGTGAAATTGGGGCTTTGGAGATAGCCATTTCGTTTTGGACAAATTGTTATCTTCAAACCCTTCCAAAGTGGGCTTGGTGTTATGAGACTTCTTAAGATTCAAATCAATAGATCCCAGCCTCTACCATTCAGACCCTTCTACTCATCCACAAAACCTGTATACTATTCCTGGCCTTTGAGGTCTAACTCCATTTTCTATTGCTATTACAGAATTATTGGGATTAGTTCATGAAGTTAAAAAAGAAAATAAGTTTATTTTTGTTAATAAGTCTAGAGATTGAGAAGTCCAAAGTTGGACATCAGACTTCTGTTGGGAGCCTTGGCATGCTTGAACCCATAGCAGGCAGGAACTGGAAAGCCAATGATCAGGGGAGAGAAAAGGAAACATTGGGGAGAGAGAGAAAGAGGGAGAGAGAGGAGAGAGATAGGGAGACAGAGACAGAAAGAGAGACAGAGACAACTCTTTATAACTACTGCCTCCTTTTGGAACTGATGCATTCTCAAGAAAATAGGAATTCAATAATGGGAGCAAGACATCAATTCATTCATGAGGGCTTTGATACTATAGGCCAAACATTTCATACCAGCTTTATTTCCCAACATATTGAAAACATGGCAGTGGCTAGTGAGATGGCTCAGTGGATAAAAATGCTTGCTGCCAAGCTGCTGACCGAAGTTCTATTTCTGGTGGAAAGAGAAAATCACCTGTGACCTCCAAATGTGTGTGGTGATGTTTATATGCACTTTCGTACCAATGTGAACACACTAAAAATGTATGTGATGTTTATATGCACGTTTTACCAATGTGAACACACTGAAAATGTGTGTGGTGATGTTTATATGCACTTTTGTACCAATGTGAACACACTAAAAAAGTAAACAAATGTAAAAAAAAAAGTCTTTTCAAAGCATAGCAGGAATCTGCTGGGTCAATGGAGGAGGGCTCATTGGACCCCTTACCTTCAAGAATCTGACACTATCCCATTTGCCAATGCCAAGCAGGTTGACAGCCTCTACCTTAGCTTCTAGCTCAGAAGGGACAAGGATCAGGGAGGGCTTGGTTTTCCAGACCCCAGCCCCTCACTCCAGCCCTTGATACTACTCTAGAGTTTAGCTAGAGTTTTATCCAGCTCTATCTCTGACATACTTGGTATAATGATTTACGTTGGCAACTTCATTGGATGCAGAATTAATTGCCTAGGAGACAAGCTTCTGGGCATACCTATAAGGGATTACCTTATTTTAGGTTAGTATTTGGGCATGCTTGTGAGGGAGTTTCTAGATTGGATTAATTGAGGTGGAAAAACTCACCCTAACTATGGGTTGCACCATTCCCTGGACTGGGAGGCAGGACTGCATTAAAAGGAGTAAGCTAGCTGAGCACCTCTGTACTATCCCTGCCATAATGGATTGTATCCTTGAACTTTGAGTCAAAATAAACCCTTTCTCCCATAAATTGCTTTTATTGGGATATTTTTCACAGCAGTGAGACAAGTAACCAAAACACTTGGACTCCACCTCTCTGAGCCTCACCTCAAAGGAATGAGCTTCCATAGATCCACTTGCCTGAAAGCCTGGGAAACAGGTGGCAGGTGGAGGGGCCCTTGCATAGTAGGAGAATGAAGTTCATTCTGTCCCTCTCTCTGTGTGCCTACCTGGACATGCTGCAGAATCCTGTGGGCACACCAATCCCCTAGTTCTGCGTACTTGCTGGTCAGTTCCTCATCTTCCTCCCCAAGCTGCTCCACCAGGCTGAGCAGCATCATAGGCACCGCCATGGGTTCTGTGGCTGGGGTCCCCAAGAGCCGAGGCTACAAGCCTTGTCCCATCTGTCTTCCCCAGGAAGGGGCCAGGAATTAACCTTCAGTGGAGGAAAGAGGGTTGTATTCTTTTGTGCTTTCCGAGGACATCTGCTTTCTCTGCTACTAAGCAAGCATATAGCCTTATAGCCAAGCACCAGGGGTCAGGTAGATCCACTCCACCCTGCCTGGCAGTGACTCTTGGGTACAGGCTGCTCACAATCACTTTGGTCTTGTTTTGGTAACACAAAGGAACCTGGGAGCAGGGGGTACCTCTCCCAGTTGGGTACAGGACAGTGATGTGGTATGGGAGGTAGGACTAAGGTTAAGGAGACTTCTGGGTAGGAGATAATCCGTAGTCAGGATGACAATATAGAACAGGAGAAGTAGGCATTGCCAGAAGGCTCTAGACTGTGGAGCAGGAAGCAGGAGCTCAAGATTCTATGGAACTGACAATTCAGAAAGAATTTATACTTCTGGGCGAAACTGGAGTGTGTGGGACAGAGGACAGGGATGGACAGAGAAGCAGTAACAGAGCTCCCTCCCACACATGATGTAGCTGAGCCTTTAGAAGTGTTGCAGTGATGACCTTTTAGAACCAGCTCCTTGGAGCACGTTGGCCCGCTGCTCAGCAAGCAACTGTGACATCTGGTTGGGGACCAGCTTGATAGGATTTCCACATCTGACAACTGATTTCACCTTGGTTCAGTAACAGTGGTCCTGGCTGGGACAGGCACGGACAGAAGCAGGGATGTCAATGAAGCTAATCTGACAGAGACAGGGAGGGACAGGGTAGGGTTGGGTCTGAAGTGTAAATTGTGCCCACTAAAGTATATAAATCCTAAGAACTTAAGTGAGCACTCATCTTGTGATATTTTGTCTACACCTTTCCTTGCCCCTACTCTCTTGCAAGGACCGTGCCATGTGCTTTGGTGTTTCTGGGGTTGAGCACACAGCAGGTACTCAATAAACACATATTGCATACAGGTCAGAAAAAAGATGAGAAATGAGGAAGTAGAGGAATATTTCTGGTATATATTGTCCATAAAGTCTGAAACCATGTTATTGTGTGGTTGGCACTTCACTTTTTAGACAGGGTCTTGTCCTAGAGATCAGGCTGGCCTGAACTTTACATCCTTCCGCCTCCACCTCTTGAGTGCTGGGATTATAGGTGTGCACCACTACTGGCTCGTTGTGGCCACCCTTTAAGGAAATGAATTTCCAGTGTATGCCTAACTATTGGAGGGGTGGTGAAGTAGACAGAGACACACTTCCACAGTCTTCAGGAAAATGTGCCTGGAGACATTGGGGGAGAAGAGTTAAATGTAGTAAGCACCAAAGTAGAACTCAGTCTATGAGCCAGTTGTCTCTGCTTGGCAGGCCTCCAGCTCTGAGTGGGCCAAGGCAGATGATGTGATGGAAATCTGGAATAGAATGTCTATACCAGCCCATGGAATGGCAAGGGGGAACTGCTTAGGAGGCTTCATATGTTATTTCCATGATATTTGGATATTTGAATGTTCCACTAAAGAGAGCCAAAAAGCCCACATCCTTGTTTCCTCTGATGCCCTTGGTTTTGCTCTAAAATGTTGCTTTCCACTGGATCCCCCATCCTGGAGTTGGTCTTCCCCAAACCAGGCAATTGCTTGCAGATCTGAAGGAGTCAGGAAGCTTGGAGGCCTGATCTCTTTTCTGAAGCCATGTTCACCAGAGAGAGAGCCAGCCAAAACGACTGACCTTCCACGACTGTCCTTTCTCAGCCTTGAGAGGCGGGTATACTTGCAAGTAACAGAACCATTTGCCATCTCATTCTCAGTCTCCAGTTGAGCAAGACAAAGTCTGGACTTATCTGGCACTTTCATTCATCTCAGATTCAGAGCCGGGAAGTCTACACTGAGATGGAGAAAATGATGTTTCTGTCAAGAGCCAACTCATGGCTACAAGCAAACCTCCCTCCCCTACCATAGTACTGCCTGTACCCTCCAGGTGTTCAGTAAGAGCCAAGATCACCAAACCCAGCAGAGAGCAAGCTGGCAGCTGAGCTGGGTACTAGGAGGGTGATTCTCCATGCGAACTATCTCATGGTGAAGACAATGGAAACCGCTGGACAAAGTGAGTCAAGGAAGACCTATGCCATTTAACATAGATTTATTGAAATCTACCAGACGAAAGGCACTGTGCTAGATTTGGTAGGGGATTCGACATGAAGGACCACCCCTGTCTTCTAAGAGCTCACAATCTAATAGTGTGGGGAAGGCTGAGAAAAGGGGATGAAAAGCTAAGTCCTCAAATAGCTCTAGTGCAAGGCTGATTATAGACAGTGCCATAAAACAGACAAGATAATAAGACTGGGGAGGAACAAGAATGCCAAAAACTGAATACAAACTGGAGGGACACACTACTATTCTCAGAGATACACAAGTAGCATTGAGGATCAAGTTCAAAGATATCATTTCTATTTTTGAAATTAAGTATCCAAATCAACATAATACCAACTACAGAATGTAAGTACACCAGGAATAGAGGTGTCATCAATCCCCTAATCTAGCGGGTTTGCTGGAAATAGTAAAACACTTCCAAAATAGAGTAGAACAGGCTCCAATGAGCTCATCTTATGAGCCAAATGCTGTTCAGAAAAGTAACTATACTAATACAGAAGATCATGGGTTAAACCCAGAGACTGACTAAAAGGCATAGTGCTCCACCCATCTTAGTAAACAGAGAACAGTACCACATTTAAGCAGGTGTTCATGTCAATCAACTGGGATTTAGGCCAGGAATGCTGGATGGGTAGAATGTGAGGAAAGTCAGCAATGCAAGTCTTCTCAGGAAGCAGCCCAATTGTCAAGTGCAATTGGCTCTTGTCTAATTTCAAAAAGCACAGACCCACTCAAGCTGGCTGAAGGCGAGGAGTAATGAAGAACCTAGAGCTAGGCCTCCCTTAGGGTGGGACCCAAGTAGCTCTGAGAAGGATAGCAGGAACATGTAGCTCTCCACTACAGTTCTACTCACAGGGGCAACTCCTTGAAGTACCTTGTGCCTCCCTCCATGGTCCAATACCAACCAGAGACTTGAATTTCCTTTTTTGCATCTTACAGTACTAAAAGGCGAAATCTATCTTCTCCAATTAGGTCTGACTGCTAAGGTTGCTGCTTTTGGGTCAGGTGTCTGGGGTTGGTTTAATTAAGTGGGGTGGCAAGTCATGTGACCCACAACAGGGCCACAGCCCAGGACTGCAGGCAGGTCAGGTGTCATGCCACTTCAAGCACACAAATCAAGCACAGAGAATGCAATATCATGGGAGAAAGATGTCCACACTGTGATCTGGTGGGGATTACTCTATAAATCCAAGAGTGGGTATGATACAACTAATTGATATAGTTAATCATAAGCAGCAAAATGGTAAACATTTGCTTTTTAAAAAATTTCAGCAAGTATTTAAAACTAATAAAAGCCACAGAGGGTTTCTTTCTTAATATGGCAAAGAGATGGCACCATCTCTCTATTGGGAGCCAGGATTCTAGCTGCCCTCTATCCCCTTTCAAGAATACGTGTGGTTAGAAAGAAAAGTGCAATGAGGTAGATACATGGATGCATAGACAAACACACAATGCAAGAAGCTTGCTCACGTTTGCATGGGACAAAACAGTACACCTAGAGGATCTACATTACCCAAGGCAAAGGATGCAACTATGTGTGTGGCCACATGTTAAAGCCACACATTGATCGTGTTTGGAGAGAGAGAGTGAGGATCTCACTGCCAACATCATTTAAAACGTAATCCAATAATAGTCACAGAAAAGACACTGGTTTTTAGTTTTGAATCTAAAAAAAAGGATTTGAGAAAAAAAATCACAGAACCCAAACCAGAAAAGAGTATAAGACGGCAGAAAGGGATGTGAAGAGATGCCATGCCCTATGACATGCCCTGGGCAATGACCACTCTGCTACCTTCTGAGTTAGTGCTACTCTAGACTTCAAAAAGATCTTTTGCCAACCTTGACAAATGATCAGCGAATGAGCAAGAAACGGCATTCCTTCAAGGTGCCAGATTTGCCCTCTTCTAGATGTCAACATTCCTTACCCAAGGATAGCTGTACAAAACACTTCCCAACAGCTCACTATGAGAAAAGTAATCGGAAAAAGAAGTGAGTCCAGAACAATTCACAAGAAACCACCAGAACTGAGCCTTCAGTCTGGAGAAGACTCAAAGGGCCACTGTGGTGGCCTGGGGGCATTAGAGAAGCCCTCCTGGCCAAGATCATGGAGGTCATTGTCAGTCAGACCTTGCTTCCCAGGATGGGTCTGGGAGCCCTTCCAGGCTATGCCCCTTGGAGAACACAATCTCCCTCACTAGGCTGCCATAAGGGTGCATTTTCTGGCCCTCCAACACCCCTCAGGGCACAACCAGAAACTCAGGCTCAACCTTGGTGTGGCTATCTTCCTCACCTGCTGTTTCTCCTGAAAGGGGCTCGCAGCAACTGCCTAACTGCAGGGGGATCAGTTTTGATTTCTGTGCTACATAAACTGTCAGAATGGCTTCTTGCCCTCTGGTTTTGTTTTATTGCCCCTCTTGGGCATGGCTATTCCAAGTCCTGGACTAGACCTGGTACTCAGCTTCTGTGGCATGGCTTACAGGCTACTGGAGGAACACAGCTGTTTCTCTCCAGGCCTCTTAGATGCGGTTGCAGGGAGTGATGCCACACACATGGGCAAATTTCTCATCCTAGTTGCCCAAAGCAGAAGCCACAAAACTGATCTCTTTTATTCCAGAGTCATTTGCTGAGAGGAGGATGGAGGTCACATAACATCACCAGTCAGGTGAGTCTTCTGTCTCAGATATTTCTTAAGTGGAGCTGCTGCTCAGTCACTAAATCCAAAATAGTCAAGGCTTCTGACAACTGGAAGGATGGCTGGCTGCTGCCAGGTCATATTTTGTTGGTCTAGGTGAAGCTGAGCCCTGCTGCTGGTGGCTGGGGCTATACTGAGGAGCAGTCACAGAGTGCTCTGAGCAATGTGTGATGGACATGTCTCTAGGGTGCCTCAGTGGCCAGGTTGTATGGTCAAGTGCTGTCCACAGACATATACAGAGTCTACATTTTGGCTGAGGCATGGGCATGCTTCTCTGGCCCACTCCCATCCAGCCTGCCCACTTCGTATGTTCACTTTCTCAGTGGGCAGCGGATTCAACTTTTCTTTTGTAAGTAAATTCTCGAAGAAAATATCATCACATCTAAGTACTGAAGCAATGAAAGTCATGAGTTAACGGACAAAAAAGAATTCAAGGATATGTAAAAATAATCCAAAGCCTATACAACAAAAATGTAATAAAAGTACTAAAAAAGAAAAGGAATAAAAATTGGAAAATAACACCCCAATTGATATAGAAAGAAGTACTAAATCAATATATCCAAAGGTAACTTGGTAACTAGTCAAAGGAGATGAACGGATAATTTGCATGCAAGAAAACAAAAATAGTGTTGAAATCATTGCATGAAAGATGAGACTAGTAGTCAGGAGGCCTGAGGGGTCCATCCTTGTCTCTGATACTAATGAGCTGCAGGATGTCAGCAAGTGACCTTCACTGAGCAGACCTCCTTGCCGGGCAATGTTCTTGCAGGCAAGGCACACTCCTTGAGAACCTTAGGAGGTAGGGACTGTGACTGCTCCCCACTTCACAGCTGCAAGCAGAAGGCTGAAGAAGTATCATTTATGCCTGATATGACATGAGGCTCTTCCAAGGAGATGTCACTTTACCTTTAAGTCCTGAAGATGACCTTCTCATTTGGGGGTGCTCTCTCACTTTATGTTGAACAAGATGATACCATGTGAGTATAAACCTTAAGTGATGTTTGTTTTTGATGGTTATAGGGGTCACTGGATTAAATTGGCATAGCTAAATGAGATACCAAAAAAGGTTTATTTCTAGCTCAGTAAGTTTTACTAGGAGTGTGACTCCTCCGCCCCCAAAAAAAGTCCCTTTAAAAGGCCGTTTGGGAAAGCACCACTTTATGTGGCTATGTTGTAGGTACAGTACTAATTTAAAAACACAAAGTAATGGTTCTAATGTTATATAAATATGTTCTTATGGCTTGGAGGAAACTTCTGGTGAGAGCCTCATGCAGGGATTGTCACAGTGCTACCACACCGCAAATAGAGGTGGCTGATGACTCAAACAGGTTCCCATATTGATGTGATCAAAAATGTACATCAAGAGTTAGAAACAAATGGAATATGGTGAAAAAGAGTATTCTCTAAATTAATATATTAGTCCATATAATGTGATTTAAAATTTGTATGTATAACTAAATTAATAAATTAAATATGGTATTTGATCTATTTACAATCCCTAAAAGTTTATAAATTCAAGTAGGCCAAAACCTCGGAGCAATTTTCCTTTCAAGAAAGGTGCATCATCATACTGATGACATTGAATTTCCCTCAGGGGTAGAGCTTAGCAAGGACCCCCCAGCTCCCTACTTGACCCCCATATGCAGATTTTTTTCTTCTCATTCTAGATATGAAGATTAAAATACCTTGATGGTATTTTCTGCAAGGAAAAGTAGGCAAGCTATGTTAAAATGGTAAACGTCACCCTCACTAGGTATAGTGGGAAATATGAACATTTATAAATTGCTGGTGGCAGTACAAATCATTTCAACCTCTCACACAACAAAATAGAAGCACTACAAAACTGTTCATCTCCTTTGCCTGGGCTACGGCCTCTGTGGACCCCGGCCTCTGTGGACCCCGGCCCCTGTGGACCCCTGCTACAGGTCCCAGGGCAGTGTCTACTGGTGATGGGAGGGCTGGTGCTTCTGCAGTGCTGAGTGCCTCTTGAACACACGACCACACTCACTGCACTCACAGCACCTGGCCGCACTGTGGATCCGCCTGTGGCGACTCAGGCCTGAGCTCCTCCGGAATGCCTTGCCACACTTGTCGCACTCATAGGGTTTCAGTCCGCTGTGGATGCGCCGGTGCTTGATGAGGTCAGAAGGCCCCCTGAATGCCTTGTCGCACTCGCCACATGCATAAGGCCGCTCATCACTGTGGATGCGAGTGTGCTCCAGCAGGCTGGAGCTCTGGCGGAAGGCCTTGCCGCACTGGCTGCACTCATAGGGCTTCTCACCCGTGTGGATCCTCCGGTGCTTGGTGAGCTCTGAGCTCCTCCGGAACAGCTTGCCGCAGTGAGGACAGCCGTAGGGTTTGGCGCCGCTGTGGATACGCTGGTGCTCTGCCAGGCCGTTGACACCACGGAAGGACTTGCCGCAGTCGTCGCAGTCGAAGGGCAGGTGGCCCGTGTGCATCCTCTGGTGCTTGAGAAGTTCCTGGCGGTCCAGGAAATCCCTGCTGCACGCCTTGCACGCAAAGGGCTTTTCCGAACTGTGGAGCTTCTGATGTCGAAAGAGGTTGGTGTTGGCTTTGAAGGACTGCCCACACTCCTCACAATCAAAGGGCTTCTCTCTGCTGTGCACCCTCAGGTGCTGACTAAGGCCTGCGTTCTTCTTAAACCTTTTCCCGCACTCCTCACACTCAAAGGGCTTCGCCTCCCTCTCCATTTGCTCCCTCTTTTCCAAGGCATCTTCCAGAGCCTGACTGGGGCCAGGCCGGGGCTGAGTGGCCACAGCTGCGTGGCTCTTCCTGTGCTCATTAAATTCTGATACCCCCCTGAAGACCTTCCCGCAATCGCCACACTCCCAGCCCTTCTCCTCACTGTGAACCCTCTGGTGCTGAACAAGGAGCACTTTAAGGCGGAAGGTGTCCCCGCACTCTTTACATGCAAAATGGTGTTCTATGGGCAGACTTTGTGGGCTCCCTCCCCTTCCCCCAGAGTCCCCATTCTGTTTGACCTCAGCGCTGGGGTCATTGGCCCTCGGGGAGCTCGTGGACGCCATCTCTTGCACCTGGGCTTCTTCAGCCATCTTCTGGTGGGAGGTCACGTAGGAGCTTTCTACAATGATAAATGACACACAACAGTTTACAGAGGGCCCAGAAAAAAGGTTGCTTTCATTTGTTGATAAAACCAACTGCTGAGAACAAGCAAGGGCCTGTAAGCTAGCAGAAGCAAGCACCAGAGGGAAATGTGGGGGAGTCCTCATTGTGGACATTGCTTATCAAAGGAGCTGTGAAGATGCCTTTGCTTTTAGCAAGGGTACAGTCACACCGCATTACCAGAGCTTCAGGGGACCTCTTAACACTAATCGTAGACTCCACAATCTTAGCTGGTCTTCCTGAGTTGGAAACTTCAACCTAAAAGCTCAGCAGCCCCGTGCAGCCCAAATCTGTACCCCTCTCCCAAATTCCCTCATGCTTCTTCATGTTCCCTTTATGCTCACCAGGGTGCTTAGTGTGATCTGTGTTGAGGGATAGATTTGATACCAACAGAACTTGTCCTTGTGACAGGTGAGATACCAAAGCAGGACTCACAACGGGAACTCCTGTTAATGGAAGAAGGCAGCTGATGATATCAGCATGAAGGAACAGAGGAAGAGCTGTCAAAGGAGATCCCTTCCAAATCTCCTGGGCAGTCTATGACTTTATTATATAAGTCACACAGGCAGTTCAAATGCACTTCCCAAGTACCAGCTCCTTCTGGGGACTTAAGGAGGCAGGCTCTGGGCCCTCAGCAAAGGCCCCAGAAAAACAGTAGCTAGCATCTTGGCCACATGAACTTAGTCCCTTGCCCACTGAGCCACCCCAATACCCCACCGATGAATGTCATGCTCCTCCCAGACCTCTACAACACTTAAACCAAACTCTTAACTGTTCCTTCTTCAAAAATCCCCCACCCCATAAAAATACCTAACGAATAAACAAGAGCTCTCAACAATGACCTTCAATCAACTGGCTATATGATTGGTATAATTTATGTGTATGTATAATATACTACATTTATATATATATATATATATATATATATTTTGCATATGTACTATATATACAATATATATTGCATTTATTTGTATATATTGGTATAAATGGTATAATTTGTCATCTCAGCCTTATGGTTAAGATCTAGTATTGTTCTGATCAATTTAACGTTTGATATGTTTTTTAATTGAAGACAACGTATTACATTTTAAAAGTACTCTAAATTATGACAGGTTTGTCTCATTTTTATTTTTACATTTGTTTCTTTAGTGTGTGTGTGTGTCTGACGATGTGGGAATGTTCATACCATGGTGCGCTTGTGGAAGTCAGAAGACAACTTGCACAAATTGATTGTCTCCTCCTACTTTATGGATTCTTGGGATGGAACTGAGGTCAGCAGGCTTCTGTGGCAAGAACTTTTACCTGCTCAGCCATTTCAGTGACTACTGTTCTAATTTCCTTCAAGTGAAAGATGGGAATGGAGAGATTTTTCCATGCCAGGAGGAGTTGGGGGAGCTGTTGTTGAGTGTTCTCAATAAAGAAGAGCAAAGTGAAATTGTGTGTGGGTGGCCATGTATCCTCAGTTCCACTTTCAGTAGATGGTGAGTCTGAGAAGCTCTGGGAACATCCTTACCAATGGAGGTCACAGTCCTGGAATATACCAGTGCCTGATGCTCCGGGTTCAGACTCAGACTCAGCCAGTCCTGTTCTGTGAGGTACCACGGTACAACATCAAATGACACCAAATCCTGAAATAAATCCATTGATAGTCAGTCTTTTAACCTAATCTGGAATAAGGAAGGGTGGCACCAGTGATGTTGGGGGCAAGAAGATAGAGCTTGAAATATTCACATCAGTGTATGTTACTAATGTGGAGATCTAACCACAATTCCAAGGAGTCCTAGAAAGAAAACATGATCAAGCACAATGAGACCTGGGCCGTCTAGCCTAGGACTCCCATTGTCTTCCCAAAGGACACAGACTTAGCTCTCTCACATATACAATGGGCATCATAAGCACACTGGGCATCCATTCCTTGGCAACCTGTGGGAGAGAAGCAGAGGACAGGAAAGAAGGCAGTAGCCAGGGCTCACACTTTGCTGCAAGTCATGCTGGGCAAGAAGCAAAGGCTGAGGCCAAAATCAGGGAGCAGCGACAAAATCTCAAGCAAGGCAAGAGGGAAGCACAGCTCACCTGGGCCTCCGGCATCTCAAGAGGGACTGCCAGGACCTGGTTTCCTGGGGCTCCATCTTGGGGAAGGGCAAGACCTTGGGGAGCAGGTGGAGCTAAGGAAAGTGAAAAAAGCTGTGAGTAACAACAGCCCTGTTACTTGGTCCCCTGGGATGGCATTAGTGACTTCCTATTTCGTAGTTTTAAATCTTACAGAGTCTTCTCTCTCAGGCGGGGCAAAATGACAAGGCAGAGCATGAGTATGCCAAAGAAAACATATATGAAACAGCAGGAAAGTAGGCTGGGAAAGAATTAATATAGGTAGGCAAGAGGGGGCGAGATAAGGCAAACACATGCTAGCCTAGGCAGAGTCAGAGATAGCTACAAAGAGCTGTTGGCAGGAAGATTAGCTGCCAGAGACTGGCTGACTACAGACTTTCCCTAAAGTAAGCCCGGGTGAGGTCAATACTCATACTATAAAGGGAGGAAGCACACGAAAGAGAGTACCAGAAGAACTAACTCAGAGATAAGGGGTCCTTTCATGGACACTTGAAACTGATGAGGCCATAGAAAAGAAGAGAGATGACAAAGAGCAGTGGGGCCTTTAAAAGTGCACCCTAGTATAATAAGTCATTGGGAGAAAACCATGAAGAATCCTCTTTATGTTATTCAACAAAATGGGAAGTTGAAAAAATACCTGGAGAAAAGCACCTCTAAGAAAAGTTCTTCAAACACTACATTGATAAAGAAAACATCATGTGTGTATGTGTGTGTGTGACCTTTTCCTCCATATTCTGATGTCAACTCAATACAACTCATAATTAAGTGAAAAGGAAGCATTTTAGCATTAACTGAAGGACAACAAAACCCCGGGTACTCGGAAAGACTTAACTATGGTATCTTCGAAAGGGTAAACGAAAATGGCCATACACATGGCCATGGTAGAGTAACAAGTTACAAACCTGTGTTCAACAACAGTTTTTAATACTAGGGTAGTAGGAAGCCCAGGATCAAGACTGCCAGAGAAACCAATAAGGCAAGTCCTGTCATCAGTTTAGTGCCCTGCCTGGTGGCAATGTACAGAATGAGAGTGTAGGAGGGGTGAAATCAAATGAACAGAGCTTAGCAACCTCAGCAGAAGCTTCAAGGCTAGCATTCAGGGTGGTAGGGGAAGAGGGAAGTTGCAGAGCAGAGTTCAGAAAGCACTGTGCTATGTAGGAAAAAGAAGTGAAAAGGTATATATAAGGCTTCCCTTGAATCTTTTCTGACTACAAGTACTAAATGAAACTCCCAAGGACTATAAGGTGAACAGTTCCCAAGACACACAAAGGTGTTCAAGATCTTACCAACCCACAGAGTCTTTATGAATTCCAGGGACATTCAGAGGCCAATACGGAGGGACCATGATGTAACGGTAAGATTTGTCTATCCTTAAAGTCCAAACTACAAAAGATCTGCCTTACAAAAACTTAATATTGGCCCCAATGACATCAAACTGACCCACAAATAATTAGACACTCAACAAACTAATCATTACAACGTGTAATTCCCAATAAAAATTGAACTGCCGAGAAACACAAAATATGTCACCAACAGTAAAGAGAATAATCAGTCAATAGAAGCATCCAGAAATGAACAGAACTAATAGATAAAAAAAATGATAATTTAACTATGCCCCAGCACTGAAAGAAAAACAAGGACATGGGGAGAAACAGAAGATATAAAATAAAAAGAACCAAATGAAATTTTTGCAGATAAATGTATATAAAATTAAAAATTTCACTGGATGTCATTAGTAGATTTGATACTATATGAAACAGTGGAAAACATGAAGACATGACAACAACTGCTATCTAAATAAAGTCAGAGAGAGACAGCTACCATCATAATTCAATTTCTAAAAATGGTAAGAGAAAACGCTTGAAAATAGCTGGAGGAAAGAAATGATGCAAAAGAAAGGAAGCAATTAAGTCTTATAAAATTTTATAGTCAGAAAAAATATTAATATTAATCAAAAATGAAGGATGAATATTTTATACAAAAGCCAACATTGAGACAATTTGTCATTAGCAGCTCTGTACCATGGAATATACTAAAAGAAAACATTCAGGTGGAAGACAATGGAACCAGATTTAGAAATACACAAAGAATGTAAAGGCATAGGGAAACAAGACTTTCACCTTCTGCATTTCAAAATCTTTGAAATTTAACTGATCATTTCAAGAAAACGCAGTTGCTAAACATATAAGAAAAGTAAAAGGAAGAGAAGAGATGGGACTAATGGAAATAAACAGCAGGGCAGCAAACTTAAACACAAATCATTAATCTAAATGATAGACTACATACTTCAATGAGAAGGTACAGATTGTTAGAATGTATTAAAGAAGAAGAGTGCATACTGTCTAAAAAAGTGTTAAGGACACAGACATGTTAAAAAGCAAAAGCACAGAAAATAGTATACTGTAACCAATAGGAAGAGTCTAATCTCAATATCCAAAAAAAAGTATGTGGGGAGAAGGTGAATGACCAGGCTGGCTCAGAGTTCTGAAAATTCTACTGAAAGGTCCTAGAACTCAGGGCAAGAAGAAAACTTGAAAGGTTTCAGTATAAAAATCAACAGGTGGGGGTTGGAGAGAAGGCTCAGCAGTTAAGAGAATTGCCTGCTCTTCCAAACGTCTTGAGTTCAATTCCCAGCAACCACATGGTGGCTTACAATCATCTGTAATGAGGTCTGGTGCCCTCTTCTGGTCTGCAGACAGAATATTGTATACCTAATAAGTAAATAAATAAATATTAAAAAAAAATCAACAGGTGACCAGACCAGGATAACATGCAGCAGATTACAAACATGTAAAGATACAGGTAGGGATAACATTTGACTGAAAACCCAAAGAGGAGAAAGAAAGCAGAGAAAACAAATCACACATAGTCACATTTTCATAGAAAAAAGGAAAACACCGAGTCTGACCTGGAGCTAGAATAAGCACATTGATTCAGTGTTTGTGTAGCTACAAAGGAAAAGAGACAAGGTCTGGAAAGACACATTTTTCAGTTTCTTTAATGTGTGGCTTTTTAGACATCAAGCTGAATTTTATTGATATCAAAAAGGACCAATTTTAGATAGCCTTTGGCAGGTAAATGTGGGATAAGACAGATGTTCAGCATGCTAGGGAACAAGGCTGAGACCAAGAAGACAGCAGAAGAATGGCCCTTGAGGTCATATAAAAAGATCAGTATTTTTCAGAATACCCATGTGCAGTGAAACAAAGAGAAGAACTAGTGGAAATCTGTCAGCAATCTATGAAGGGGGAGTGACCAGAAAGTCTAGGCACAGCCTTCTTGGAACCATCTCCTTAAGCTATCAGCTTTATAGAAAGATATGGGCAGAAGATCCAATGTCACCCAAAAGTCCTTGCAAGCCCTCCTACCCATTTTTAGCTAACTGCTTAGCAAAAGTGTTTATCCAAATGTGTGAGTTCATGCCGAGATATTCAGTGGACAAACCCTCTCTTTGTCCCAGTGTCACCAAAGCAGTGATCCTCTGCCTTAATAGATTCTTGTAATTTGGGCTTCTTAAACAAACACAATGAACTGATCATAAATTTATTACATGATTTTGTTTTTAAAACAACTCATTTCATATGAAATGGGACATCACATCATGTATGTACCTCTGTCAAAAGATGGTCTACTATAAACCTTTTCTTGTCTTAAGCCAGTAATAAGCTTTGGTCTACAGCACAAATGCATATCCTGCCCCCCCCCCTTCAAAATCAACCAATTCAGACACACTGACCTTCACGCAGATATACGAATGCCAAGGTTGTGGCCCTCAAAGCCTGTGAAGCTGCTAAGAATACCATCTCTTATCGTAGGAGGTTCCTTCTAATAATTCAGGCCTTAATGCAAATGCCACTTCCTTAAAACCTCTTTATTCTCCAGCCCCAGCAGTTTCCTCCAAACATTTTCACTAATGAAAAATTCTCCTTTGAAGTTGCTGGTTTTTCTCAGAAAAGGAAAATCTGATCCAACAGGACAGTACCTTCTCTCCATTGGCTACCCCTAAATTCCCAGTGTCTGTAGCAGCTCCTGGCACCATGTAGGACATGGCATGATGTAGGAATATGTTTCACAGTTACCTTTAAACCATACTATCAATATGCCATTGCAGAGCCTCACTGCATAAATACATTATGCTTTTCCTGTTACACACACATACACACCTTTAATGGAACAAATCCCACTGAGGTGTTTTTTCTTAATTGGCATGATTAATTGTTAAAGCCATGGAGCTACAACTCTAAAAAGAACTGTTAATTATTCTTCCTATATAGCAATAGAAGCAGTCCTTCCTGTACTAGTTCACCCTAGGGATTTGGCTTGAGAGCACGTTAGCTCCTGGTGGCAATGTGACTGCCACCCACAATAACAGAGCCCCTGACCACACAGAGATAATTTAAAAGGTACACATGAAAATAAGAGGGAAAAGGTGGGCCCTGCTTTCACAAAGGTATGTAAAACTCTATGCAATTAGCTAGCTGTAGCAGAAAAAGGGCTTATCCTAGGTATAGGAAAATCACTTAAAAATGATAATAGACATGAATCCCTACTGTGTTTAAAATTAAAACAACCATCGATCCTGAAGAGAACTGGATCACTTAGTCTCTGTGTTGTACAACTATTCCACTTTAAAATGGTGGAATATAATCTAGAAAAGAGCTGGATGCTGTGACAACAGTGACAAGCACAGGTGTCCATTGCCTTCTGACATGGATCTTTGGCGATCAAGGTCCAAGCAATTCCATATAGAACATGAAAGTCATTGGAGCGCACTCAATGGGCGTGGAGGGCAACGCTAACCTTGAACATAAGACACTTTTATTCAGGATAGAAAAGCATACCCTGAATTCTAAAGAATTTTCTATGGCATACTAGTAAGTGGGAAAGGAAGCTCGGGGAATCACGGCAGGAAAACAAACCAACTTTCCAGGCAAACAAGACTGTCTTTCTTTCCATGGGACACAAAGGCCAGAGCACAAAGGCTTTGTCAAGGTCAACTGCAAACTTCATGTTGGGTCTAGCCAAGTCCATGGCTGCTGCAGCTGTTTAATAACCATCTGCTGCAAGAAACCACGCATGCAAACAGTGTCAGTGTTCATTGCGGGGCTGGCCAACAGTGAATTCTAGAATAGCAGGCCTCACGTACTGAGCAAATCTTGCTTCAGAACAATATGTACATTTTTTAAAAAATGTGATAATGTACAGTCATTGATACTTTCACGTATGTGTTTACTGCAGTATAATCCATAGAATTAGCCTGAGTATCCAACAACAGATAAATAAAATATGGTATAAGATACAATAAAGTGTTATTCAGCCACAAAATTAAGTTTTACCTAAGCAAATTATTTGAATTTATTGCATGGAATTACAAATGTTAAGGTACCCAAAATAATCACTGTAATTTTACCTGAAAGAACAGAAATTGAGAGTTGAATTCAACACAGAGATAAAACAACTTATATCATAAACACTGGTGATTAATTTGGTGTCTTTTATACTTTCCTGGACAGGCATTATCTTTCTGTGGCAGCAGGGCAGAAAGAAGCAGCAAAGTCACTCAACTAAACCCCATCAATCAAAATGTACTGTGGCCATGTTAAAGAGAGACTTTCTTGGTTGATAGTTGATGTTGGCAGCAGAGCCCGATCTGTATAAAAAGCCTAGCTAAGTAGTGAACCAGGAGCAGGTCAGTAGCGCTCCACCACGCTTTCTGGCTTGGCTTCCCTCAAGGATATACAAGCCCAATAAATCCTTTTCTCTCTTAGTTGCTTTTGGTCAGGTGTTTTATCACACCACCAGAAAACCAAGCTACAAGAGAGCACATAATTTAACTGGTCAGTTCCCTTTAGGGCCAGGGAAAATGTGTTTCAAGGTTGTGAACACTCGAAAGAGATCTGGTTCTAATGGGTGCTTTCAGCTCCCTCTCCCACACAGCGATTCTCTGGGCTCCCTATTTTCCTTGCCAGGCAACCTCTCTGCCTGGCATTGTTTCTGGCTAAGTAGCTCATCAAGACTAGCATATATGAGCTTCCGGAACCCAAACACGTCTTCACTGTCTTGTACCGCTACCCATGGGCCTTGCTGCAGCACAGCAGACACATTCTGCAAACATCTAGACTTACCCAAAAGAGACACACAGGGATGACTCATCTCGTTTTAGACCAGTTCCAAGAGATTAGTCCAGTAAGGACGGTCTCACCTGTTGGATTGAAAGAACTCAGGTGAACAGAAGCAGGCTCATGTGTGCACCTTCCAGGAACCTGTCCTTTGGTAATGAGTGCTCAAGGGCAGGACAAGCTGTGTAACTGAATCGGCACAGCCAAGGCCTGGATGTGCCTCGGTGAGTCCAGGGTGCAAGTCCTACTGAGTGGGCCCCGGGGCTACAAGTGCACCTTATGTTCCCAAATGAACCTGGCAGGCCAGGAGGTACGCAAGTGGCTCATAGGTCCATCTTGTATTGTGAAATTTGGCTGCTACTCAAAAGTAGAGATTCCTAAAAGGCCAAAAGTGATAACTGTCTTACCAGGAAAGTCTGTTTCTCTTGGGCTATTTGTGCGTGTGTTATCTTTTGTCTGTATGTGTGGGTGGGAAGGCATCTGTTTTCTCTCTCACATTGCCTGGGCACCTGTCTTTCTGTTTAGGTTTCCCTCTTTATTTCATTCTATAAAAAGCCAGAAGGTAGACCATAAGGGGATTTTGTAATGTTTGTTGTGTTTAATTGAGGAAAGGTTTATGTTCCCATTTCTCCAAGAATACGCACTGACATCTTTCTAAAAATCAAAATAAATTGTAAGTATAGAATCACTGATGTTACACTGTCCAGATATAAAAGATTCCAAACTGGGGATATGGTGAACGGCTATTCAGCTTGCCCAGGTCATCCAAAGAACCCAAACAGTTTTGGAAGGGCTGGATCATTTGAAAAGTCTAGTGGTAGAGGAGTAGGTCTGGGTGGGTGTCATGGAATTGGCATCTTTCAACATGTAGACATTGGGGTTGTCTAGAATTTGGAGGTTCCCTCATGTCTCATCAGACTGTTTTTCCCATCCAGGAGCTTCCTTCTGAAGATGTGCTGGTGGTCAGACCTCAGGCAAGAGAACTCACTTTTTAGCAGATTTTCTGACAGAAGGCTAGAAATCACTGTGCCATGGAATTCTAAATCCAGGTCCAGGACCACTTTGGGGCAATGGACCAGACGATGTCAAACACTGAATGCTGTTTCTATAACAAGGCCCAATGGGAGAAGGGAGAAGGCAAGTGGTCCTACCTGGGAGATGTGCTATTTAACTGGTCCTATAAGAAATTGTCTCCTAAAGCAAAGTGTAGAGGCTGAGGTTTAGAAGGAAATGTTCTACTGACTAAGGAGACTGGAGGGGCTGCTTGCCTCTGAGTCCAAGGCTGGCTAGAGAGTCAGCTGGTACAGGGTGAGCCCTCTGGGAAGTGGGCCAGGAATGAGGGGGGCGCTGAAAAGGACTATGGGCTTTGGGCAGCAGGCAAGCAGGAGTACTCGCGTGTGTAATATGACATGTAATTAATCACCAAATACAGACTGTAGGAACCAGCAAAGGAATTTAGGAGAAGGGGGCGATGGAGTGGCGCCAGAAAATGTGGCTCCCAGAAAGGCCACAGTAGAAGCTCTCTTCATCCAGCAAGCAGTCCCTTCTGCACCCTCAGCTCTCTGCCATAGGCAACATACCTGCTCCCATTATTCTCACGCAACCCCCACTCAAATGGAAAGGTAGGTATCCCCAAGCCAGAACGTTCTTCTGGGCCCCAGAAGTGCAGCCCCCTCCCCAATTCTGGGAAAAAGTCTCTGCAGCCATTCCCCCACTGCATCAATCCCTGCGGCCTCCACGTCGATGGGGGTTGGTGGGGGCGTCCACCCCTAGCTCCTGACCGGTTCCCAATTCTTAGCATCCTCCAAAGAGCAGCACAGACCTCAACACATCCGCAATACCAGCCTTTGACCGCTACCCCCAACTCTGCACCAGAAGGCCTCAGGGCCTTTCCATGCTCACACACCACCAGACCCCTTGGCCCCTGGCTTGTCCCAAGGCGGAGCACCTCCCCTCTCTGCGAGACGCTCCCTCCCCCGCATATTCTCCCGCGGTTCACGCACTCACTCAGGCCCCCAAGCACATCCTCCCGCCGCCCCGCAAGCTCTTTTGGGCCGCACATCCTTGATCGCGCACATCTCTCACGATCACTCGAGTTGCACGTCCCTCTCGGGGTCCGCACGCTCACCCGGCCCGCAGCGCCTGACTCTGGGCCCTCGCAGAAGCGGAGCTGGCGCTGTACAAGCAGGCCCGGCGTGGCAGGAAGCGCCAAGAAGCCTCCAGCGCCTGGTGGAGCCTTGCAGTTCGGTGGCGCATTTCCGGAGCCCGGGTGTTGGGGGGTGGAGGGTGGGGGGCCGCCTGGGGTACTGAGAGTGAAGCCCCGCCCCGGCCTCAGTCCCGCCCGGCCTGTCGGCTACCATTGGCATGAAATGGAGTGGGACGGATGGGGGCGTGTCTGGGGCGGGGTGAGGAAAGGAGGTGGGGTAGGTGAGAATGGGAGAGCAAAATGCATGGATCCTGGGTGATGAGATAAAAAGCACGGAAAGAATGTAAAAACGAATGGTGAATGAATAAATGATCAAAATAAATTGATTAGTAGTGGAGACAATAAAGAAACTGACAAGGCTAGGACTTTCAGAATGATGGGAGGGCTGGGGGAAGGCACTCAAGAAAAGAGTGCAGGAGTCAGAATCCCTCATAAAGTCATGTATGAGCCTTCATTGTGCCATACACCGAGAATACAATCGTGAACAAAATTAGACTCTTATGCCTATCTTAAAAGCCACACACCAGGCACCTCAGAGCTCCTTTGAGAGTATTGGATGTATAGTAGGGGGCACAGACCAATAAATAAACAGTAACCCGAATTTCAAAATAATAGGTTATATCATGAATCCCAAAACAAGTGTCTTGGTTTAAAGGTGCTGCAAGCAGTTGCCAGTTCAAGATGACTTAGAAAGTCAATTTCATTGCTTTCCTTTGTGCATCTTTGGTGACACAAGTAACTGCTTTTAAAAAGTGGTTTCCAGGGTAAGTCACTAATAAACAAAGATCAATATAAAACCCTCCGAAGAGAGATGAGAAGCTCATTCAACATCCATCCAGGTGAGGTTTGAAGTAGTCAGGAAGGAAATGTGTGCATGCTTTTGTGAAACTGCAGCATTTGCTGACAAAATCAATATCAAAGGTAAACACCCTGTCATCCAGATAATCTTGGCATATCCAGCATAAGAAAGGAAAGTCAGGTGCCTGAGAATTAACTCAGCCTGAAGAGTGCTTGTCTTGCAATAGTACAAACTCTTTTCCTAAGCCCCTATCTCGATAAAAAACATTACGAGGAGTTTGGAAATTTTCCATGCATCCTATTCCAGCCCATTTCTAGCATGATTCCACAGGGGAAACCACTATTCCATGAGAATGGAATCAGAACGTATATACTATTTTATACCATTTTGTGTTTGAATTCTTTCCTTTACTATGATATTTTTGAGATTCCTCTATATTGTTGAAATATGTTTCCCTTCCTTTCATTGCTGAGTCACATACCATTGTACAGCTGGTTGATTCAGTCATCACTTCATGATGTGAGCTGCTTCCAATTTGGGTTGTTATTCACTATATAAATAGTTGTGCATGTTTTTGTGTGACCATGTGCTTTAATTTTTCTTGAGTAAAATCCTGGGAGGGGAATTTGCCACGTCATAGGGTAGTTGTACGTGTTATTAGCAACTGCCAGGATGTTTTTAAGCAACTGAGACTCCTACAGAAAAGTGTGAGTTCACTTTCTTTCTCATCTCATCAACGTTCATTTTTATGCCAACCTTTATTTTTATCCATTCAAGTGGGTGTGAAGTGATTTCTGGGATCATTTCCTTGATGACTAATTACATTAAATATGTTTTTATGTTTGAAGTGCTCATTTCTGTACCTTCCTTTCTATTGTGTCTCAAATCAATTGCAAAACTCTACACAGCTGTGTTTTTCTATGTGTTTTTAAAAATAAAACCACATGTGTTAGAATTTGACGTGCAGTAAATTACATGTTTAAAGTGTGGTAATTAAACTTTGATTTAAGCACTACACTTAGATAAGGTTTCATAAATATACAAGCAACTATGAAGTCTTCACCAAAATGAAGGCAACAGCATATCTATCACCTTGAAAGTTCTATCAGACCCTGGTAATCTCTTTTCCCTCCTTTCTTATGGCCAGGTAGTCAATGATTTGCTTACTATTCCCAAAGATGTTTGTATTTCCTAGAAGAGTATATGATTTCTGTTTGGTGCAACAATTTGTGATATTCATAGTCTGTTGTACTTCTACAATAAAATAATCTAGGCTAGGTGTTATGGTTTAAATGTACACCTTCAAAGTCCAAGAATTATCAATCTGATCATATTAAAAAATGACATCTTCTAGCCAGGCATGGTGGCACACACCTTTAATCTCAGTACTAGGGAGGCAGAGGCAGGTGGATTTCTGTGAGTGAGTCCCAGGACAGCCATAGCTTCATAGAGAAACCCTGTCTTGAAAAATCAAATCAAATCAAATCAATAAATAAATATAAATATAAAAAATATAAATGAGACCTTTAAGAAGTGATACATGAGTCAAAGATGTTTGTTTCTTGCTACTTTTTCTTGATATTGTCTCCAATAAAATGTTTAACAGAAGGTGTAAGAATAGGCATTCATTTCTTGGCCATTCAGCTCTTTATTAGACCAATCAGGTGTTTTAGACAGGCAAAGCAACATAGCTTCACAGAGCTAAATAAATGCAATATAAAAGAATGCAACACATCTTTGAATCATTAAACAAATGTTCCATAGCATAAACAAATTTAACCCATCTTAAAATAATATTCCAAAACAACTACATTTAGAATTAACTAAAACTCAAGTGACTGGGTGCACCTGTGATGGAGTTTTCTTTTCTTTTCTTTTCTTTTCTTTTCTTTTCTTTTCTTTTCTTTTCTTTCCTTTCCTTTCCTTTCCTTTCCTTTCCTTTTCTTCTTTCTTTCTTTCTTTCTTTCTTTCTTTCTTTCTTTCTCTTCCTTTCCTTTCCTCCTCCTCCTCCCCCTTCTTCTTCTTCTTGGTTTTTCAAGACAGGGTTTCTCCATGTAGCCTTGGTTGTCCTGGAACCAGACTGGCCTTGAACTCATAGAGATTCACCTGTTTCTGCCTCTTGAGTGCTGGAGAGGGGTTTTCTTTTCTTTTTTAAAATTAATTTACTTTTTAAAAATAAATTTTCTCATTTTACATATCAATCCCCGTTCCCACTCTCACCCCTCCTCCTGCTGCCTCCAACTTCCTCCCCATCCTACCCCCTATTCACTCCTCAGAGGGTAACGCTTCCCACGGGGAGTCAATGAAGTCTAGCATATTGCTTTGAGGCAGGACCAAGGGCATCCCACCTATATCTAGGCTGAGCAAGGTATCCCTCCAAAGAGAATGAATTGCAAAAAGCCAGAACAAGTAGTAGGGATAAGTCCTGGTCTCACTGCCAGTGGTCCTGTTTGGTTGAGGGGCTTCACCTCAGCTGGCTGGCACCCCTTTATCCAAAAAGTCAGAAATGTTTGGTCAAAAGCATCACCTCAGCTCCCTAACACCCCTTTAAACACAAAGTCTGGAATATTTAGCTGGGGGCTTCACCCCAGTCGCCTGGCATCCATTTTTAAAATGCTGGGCAGGAAACTCCATTCCAAGCTCCCTCCCCTGGGAGTTGCCTTAGGTCCAAACTCCACCTTGGAGAAAGCCCACCAAGCGGAAATCCCTCCCCAGGTTAGGTCAAGACCACTTCCTCAGGCTATTTAAACTGCCCCCCCCCGAGAATGAACACATGGTCTCCCAGTTTTCCGTGGTCTCCCCTTTTTCTCTTTCCCTCTCCATGTTTTCCCAGGGCCACCCGGGAGTATTGCTATTTATTAAACCTGGGAGTCTTTTAATTTGGTCTGATTGGGATTATTTTCATAGGCGGAGATGTTTGTCAGCCAGAAAATACTTAACAGGCCCCACAGTCTGCCCCAGCCATACAACTGTCACCCACATCCAGAGGGCCTGGTTTGGTCCTATTCTGGTTCTCTTGCTGTCAGGCCAGAGTTGGTGGACTCCCATTAGTTCAGGTAAGCTGTTTCAGTGGGTATCCCAATCATGGTCTTTACCTCATTGCTCGTCTGGACTTAGGGAGCTCAGCCCAGTGTTCCATTGTGGATATCTGCATCTGCTTCCATCAGTTGCTAGACAAAGGTTCTATGGTGACATTTAAGATAGTCATCAACCTACAGGGCAAGGCCAGTTCAGGCTCCCTCTCCACTATTGCTTAGGATCTTAGCTGGGGTCATTCTTGTAGATTCTTGGGAATTTCTCTAGAGCCAGGTTTCTTGCTACCTCCGAAATGGCTCCCTCAATCAAGATCCCTCCTTTCTCTTTGTCTCTGTCCTCCCCCATCTCAACCACCCCATTCCCTCAAGTTCTCCCCCTCTCTCTTTCCCCTCCTCCTCCGCTTCTGCCTCCCTCCCACTCCCAATTTTCTCAAGAGATCTTGTCCATTTCTCCTTCCCAGGGGGACCTATGTATGTTTCTCTTAGGGTTCTCCTTGTTACTTAGCTTCTCTGGGGTTGTGAACTATAGGCTCACTGCCCTTTGCTTTACAGCTAGTACCACTTATGAGTGAGTTACATACCATGCTTGTCTTTCTGGGTCTGGATTACCTCATTCAGGATAATTTTTTATTGTTCCATCCATTTGCATGCAAATTTCAAGATGTCATTGTTTTTTTACAGCTGAGTAGTACTCCACTGTGTAAATGTACCGCATTTTCTTTATCCATTTTTTTGGTGGAGGGGTATCTAGATTGTTTCCAAGTTCTGGCTGTTACAAATAATGTTGCTATGAACATAGTTGAACAAATGTCCTTGGTTGAGCATCCTTTGGGTATATGCCCAAGAGTGGTATTGCTGGGTTTTGAGGTAGGTTGATTCCTAATTTTCTGAGAAACCGCCATACTGTTTTCCAAAGTGGTTGTACAAGTTTGCATTCCCACCAGAAATAGAGGAGTCT